TTCCTGGAAGGGGGGGAGGATTGTGTGATTTGGGGTAGAGGCTGGGAAAATGCCTAGGGTGCCCAAAGACCGCAAGTGATGGTCTGGCAGGGAGCGGCCACATGAGGAAGAAGGAACTTCTTGCGCTGGACTTTGTTCTGTGCAGTGGGAAGCCACGGAAGGCTTCTGAGCAAGACGTGGCAGGCTCAGACGGGGCCCTCCATTCTCCCGCTTTCTCCCATCTGTGCGGCTTGCCTTCACTTACAGACTCCTCTCCCACCGGGCCTGGCAGCGCAGGGCTCTGTGTGCCCTCCACTGGGCTGCACCTCTGCTAGGCTGGCATCCCTGTCTCCTGTGCCCTGACAAAGTGGAATTGAAACAAAAAGAAAGACTACAATAGAGAAGGAAGAGGGTACTGGAAATCTCTGGAAATTAATAAGTGACCTAAAAGATTTCAGTATTGCTAAAGGATGATCGCGAAGATACCAAAATCTGCGTATGCTATCTTGGCTCGGAGAAGCTGAGAATCAGGGTTTGGTTCCCACTTTGTGAAGGGGATGAGGGATGAGCGAGGGCCTGCCCAGGCCCTGGGAACTGTGTCTGGGAAGCAATATGAATGCCCAATGAAGAATGCGGCTACGGGAGACATTCAGATTTTATTAAAGCAAACCACACATTGGAACACTGCTGTCATTTAAAAATATTTGCAAGCAATTTGCTGTATCAATGAAGAAATTTCGACAAATTCAAGTCCGAGAGAATAAGGCAAATGACCAAGCTCCCTTTCAGACATGGATACCACCCAGGAAGCTTCGGTCCTGTGATAAGAATATTCACTCCTGCCAAATGGCAGCGGGGAATATCTGTTGTCTCAGCACTATAATGATGGGGACTCCTCTGGGATGCTAATAAATCTTGGCAAGATCTTGCACTGAAAGGTTTTTAAGGCACATTCATAACCCTTGGCTCATTTGAGCCCTACGGGAGTTGTGGTTAAGGTCATCCCCCCTCCTCCCCCCAGTTTTATAGATAACACTCAGAAGCAAAAACTGACTAGTCTGAGGTCACACAATTGACCATGGAAGGATAGCGTAGTTTTCTGGCTAACACGGGGCTTGGCTCAGAACCGTTTTCGTCCTTCACAGTCCAGCTGTCTCTGCTCCCTGGATTCCAGACTCTCTCAACAAGTGTCTCTCATCCCAGAAGGGCTTCCACGTTCGATTACCTTCCTTGTAAGTGCCATAGATTAACCAGGCAAAAGCGAACACCCCAGACAGTAGCTCAATGAGAGGGGACCAGAGCAACCAGAGACCAGCTGCATTCATTCACCCTGAAGAGTGTGGCCAGCCGGGCGTGAGCACAGGCGCATACCTCGCTGCCCGACCCCAGCCCCGGCTCCACTGCGAGCTATGTCACCTTCGACAAGTGCTTCATTTTGGCCTCTGCCTTGCCACGTGTAGAACTGTGGTGATGTAAGGACCAGACGCCTTACAACCCGGCCCCTGCCGCTAGGAGTGGGAGTAGCAAGTCTTGAGTTTCGAAGATGGAGAGAGGTGGGGTCCAGCGTAGTCCTCGTCCCTTTGCCAGGAATGTCTGCTGCCGGTCAGAATTCAGTTTTGAGCTTTTCCCGGTAGAATTCATTTTCCCTTTCTCAGGATTCCTAGAGCATAGTGCTTAGACAGTTACCCAGCTAGAATGTTTAATTATGTGGTTAGAACTTAAGGCACTTTTGAGTTTTTTCTGCCTTATTTAAGGCACAGTCCCATATCAGAGTGCCAATTTTAAGTCAAATACTATTGGAAGTTGGCAGTCGTCTATGGTTCAAACTAATGCCCGGGAGTCTATTTAAACCATGAGGGAGCTCCGTTTTGCATGCTCCTCACCCTCCCGTCAAGCGCCTAAGAAGATGCTTTCACACAGTATGACTTCGCAACCATCCAGAGACTTGACAAATCAGGAGCGGAGGCAGAGGGCAGAGACCTGGGAAGAGGGCCATCCTTCCCCGCCAGAGGATCAGGACTCCCTGCAAGACCCTACTAGTCCGGCCTCTGTTCTGGCCCCTTGCTCCAGAAAACTGGGCTCTGGGTTTCCCAGGCCAACATCCAGATGGGAGGGTTCTGAGGAACATGTGGGTGCCTGGGACTAATCAAACCCCACTCATAGCTCTTCTTTCTGTCCCAAGACAAGTAAGGAAACTGCCTGTGCTTCCTTAGCAACAGTCACCTGCTGACTCCTTCCCAAGCTCCCCTAGGAAATGAATAAACAGTAAAATCTCCCAGGCCAAAAGCTGGGCCCAAAAGGCAGTTCCCAGGGAAGTCAGCCTGTTGCCTGGGGTCTGGGAGTTGGGACAGGGATCTGGGCTCCAGTTCTGGCCCAGCCTTAAGTCACCATGAGTAACTATTTCTTTCTTTCGTAAGAATTAATTACATTTGTTATTTATTTAGAAAGGTTTTTGCTATAGGGCATGTGCACTCACCAGAAAGACAGAGAGAGACAGAGACAGAAAGCAAGAAATCACCCCCTCAGGGGGGATGGCCACACCACAATCCCTTCTCCTCCATTCTCCTCTTGGGATCCTGGGCACACATGCACAGACACGCCCGGTACACTTAAGCCACCAGGTCCAGGACTCAAACTGCGGTCAACTATGTGGGAGTCCAGTGACATAGACATTACGCCAACTGCTGGTCCCATTATTTTTAAATGACCAGAGAAAGAGAGAAAGGGAAAGCAAGAAAGCAAGTCACCTAGGTCAAGTTCAGGACTTGAACCGCAGTTGGCCATATGGGAATCCAGCACCTTAACCACCACGCCACCTATCAGCTGCAGCAGGTGAGTGGGTGGTACCTTTCAAAGCCCAGTACTTTTACTTAGTCTCCTCAAATGTCCAATGAGGTCAGGCTGGGTGGCCTGTGAGGTTCTGCCAGTCCCAGCTCTAAGACTCACTAATAGTGCTTCTGGTTACTTATTCACTGCTTGGGAGGGAAGGGACCTCGGAGCCTTTCAGGGTGCGGAGGGTCCTGGGCATGGCTGCCCTTAGCTCCCAATCGTAACAGTTGGACACATAGGTCCCAAACCTGAGACCATGAGGGAGTGAGTCTTATGACGGGGGAGACTGGCTGACATAGGTAAGCCCAGGGAAGACTCAGGCAGAGAGAAGGGTTGTCCTATATCACTGCATGTGTATGGGAGGGCAGCAGCAAAGGCCAAGGTGCAGAGGTGGGCTATGAGAGTTCTGACCTGTGGGTCTCTGAAGAGAATAGGCCTGAACAAGGATACATATTGTCACTGCTGACTGCACGCCGGAGGGGCCATGAATGCTCAGGAGGAGTACTTGTTTTCTTGTTTTTCTTCCTGTAGTCCTAGGAGCCTCTTAATACTTTTTTCTTTTCCTTTTTTTTTTTTTTTTGGAGAGTTTTTTTTTTTGCTCTAGGGCCCGTGCACTCTTCAGGAAGACAGAAAGAGACAGAGCGACAGAAAGTGAGAAATCCCCCCCGGAAGGATGGCCATGCCGCAATCCCTCCTCCTCCACTCTCCTCTCGGGATCTTGGGCACGCACGCACACACGCCCGGCATGAGTTTAAGCTACTGGGTCCGGGACTCGAACCATAGTCAACTACGTGAGAGCCCAGTGACATAGCCATTATGCCAACTGCTGGTCCCTCTTTTTTCTTTTTTAAGAATTATTTTATCCAACTTCATTATTACTTTTAAATTTGGCCAGAGAAAGAGAGAGGGAAAGTGAGAAAGCCAATCGCCAGGTCTGAGACTAGAATCACAGTCGGCCATGTGGGAGTCCAGTGCCTTTAACCACGCCACCTGCTAACCCCTTCATACTTTTTTTAAAGATCATTTTTATTTAACTTTCTTTCTTTTTAATTTGGCCAGAGAGACCACACGAGCAAGCCGCCAGGTCCGAGACTCAAACCACGGTCAGCCATGTGGGAGTCCAGCATCCTTAACCACCACGGCACCTGTCGGTTCCTCCCCCTTCATACTTTTAAATTGTGTGTGTGTGTGTGTGTGTATGATTTTTGCTATAGAGCATGTGTGCTCAATGGTGAGACTGACAGAGAGAAATCACCCCCCCAGGGGTATGGCCACACCACAATCCCCTCCCCTCTCGGAATCTTGGACACACACACACACACACACACACACACACACACTCCAGCATATAATTTTTTTTTCTTTTTTTGAGAGATTCTTGCTATAGGGTAGGTGTGTTCGCCAGAGAGACAGAAAGTGAGAAATTACACCCTAGGAAGAATGACCACTGGGCAATCCCTTCTCCTCCCAGGGTTTTGGGCACATAACCCACAGGTGCCCCATATGAGTTTTAAGCTGCGTGGTCAGGGACTCTGACCCTGGTTAACTAGTGGGAGTCCAGCAACAAATGTAGCCATTACACCATCTACTGGTCCCCCTGCATGAGTTTTAAGTCACCAGGTCTGGACTCAACTACATGCAGGTCCAAGGATGTAACCATTACGCCATCTGCGGTCCCATATTGTTAAAAGAGGTTAAGGAATGTTTTAGGCAGGTCACAGGAAAAAATTCAGAGCGGCAAGTGTAAAGCTGCTCTGGAGGCCAGCAGGAGGCTTGGAGATTAGGGCGGCTGGATCCCACATGCTCATCTGAGGATCCAGTCCCAGACTGACAGCTTGAAGACTGTTATCAGGCACACCCAGGAGCGCCAAAAATCCCAATGGAATGGAGAAAGGATTGCAGTGTGGCCATGCCCTCTGGGGGGTTATTTTTCAATTCCCCACTGTCTCACTCTCTGATGAGTGCACATGCCCTATGACAAAAAAAAAAAGTTAACTCTGCTCCCATGAGACACACCTTGGAGCTTGACACAGAGCCAGTTTCTGTCCTTCATGGTCCACTTTCCCTGCGACTTGGATTCCACTCTGAACAAACACTGTCTCAGAAGGGACTCCACCTTTGAGCCACCTCCCTTGCAAGTGCCACAGACGAACCAGGCAAAAGCGAACGTCGCAGACAGTAGCTGGATGAGGGGCCAGAGAGACCAAGCTGGAGTGGGGAGGCCTTTAGGGATGGCAGAGCGAGGGCAGGGTGACTCTCTTCCATTCACAAGTAGTTACTGTGTGCTGACTGCGTGCCGGGTGGTTGTACGTGCCTTATGAGGCTGAGGACAGTGACAAGGTCAGAATGCTCGGACTCACCTGTGGGTGTGTCACCCTTAAGAACCTAGATTAAGTGACAGTGGTGGTGGTGAGGTCGACTTGTGTTTGGGACTTAGGTTTGAAACTAGCCTAGGAGGGGAACCGTTCCAAGTCCTGCGTGTGACTGCAGGGAGGGCTGGGGAAGGAGAGGGGATGGGAGGGTAGGCAGTGAGACCAGGGCAGCTGCAGCCCGCCCACTCAGCGGTCACTAGGTCTCAGCCCCTAGGGCAGCCGGTGGATGCTGATTGCCCCTTCCCAGAGCCGCAGTGCGGGGTACAGCGGCTCGTGGAAGGTGGCGCGGAAGGTGTGCAGGTGGCTCATGCCTCCGGTCACGTCGTAGAAGGCGAGCACACCGGCCTCGTAGTCCAGGAAGACGCCAAGACGATAGGGATCGTCGCGGGGCCGCAGGCGGCAGCGCTGGCCGTCGTGGAAGGCCCAGTACTCGAGGTCGTAGCGCTTCAGGCACCAGGACTGGAGATTGCAGCCCAGGCGGGCTGCGGCCGAGTCCCCGCGGCGCCGCAGGGAGGCGTCGGGGCCCCAGCCGGCCCCCGCCTCCTGCACGTCCACTTCCCAGTAGTGGCGGCCGGCGGCGAAGCAGTCGCGACTCAGCACCTGCCAGAGCGCGTCGAAGCGCAGCGCGGGCGTCGGCCCCAGGCGGCCCAGCAGGGCGCAGCGTACCGTGAGGAGGTCTGGGGAGAGGCGCAGGCGAGCGTGCATCGTGTCCGGGTCCAGCGTGGGCGTGCGCGCGTCTGCGGAGGGCGGGGACACGGGCCGCACATGAGAGGCGGAGCCAGAGCTAGGCCCGCCCCCGGCCGCCGACCCCGCCCCGCTCGCTTTAGCCGTGTAGAAACCCGAAAGCGAGGGACCACGCCAGACAGCTTGAGAAGCTCTGCAGTATCCCCTATTGCCTCTTAGGGAGGTGACTGGGGGACAGGGGAAGGCGAGAAAATGTTACTGTACTCCGTTTATACCGTTTGAACTTTGTACCGTGGAACTTACTACCAATTAAAAAAAATTTAATTTAAAATTTACCCTATCACTGTTAGCGCTTTGGGAGTCATGTCCTTCCAGTCTTAGCGCCTTAACTATGCAGTTTTCCTAAGACTGGTATCATACCATCCATGCTTTTAGGTAATTTGCTTTTTAAAAATGCATTGATAGATTCATGAACATCTTTACCACATTAAATGATATTATTTTATGAAAGCATTTTAGCGGTGACCCTAAGATCTGGATGTCTGGGCACATAATTTACTCCTTTTTTCCTTCAATATTTTGGCTTTTAAAACTTTCAAACACACTAATATGATTATATTTTTATGTATCTGATTACTTCTTTAGGATATATTCCTAAAAGAGGAATTGCCAAAGGGTATGATTGTTTCTAAGGCTTTTGATAAATATTCTGATTGTCCTCCGGAAAGGTGGTAATAATTTAAACGCTCCTTAACAGTTCTCTGCATTGTACCATGTTTGTACACATGAAATTGTTTTTTCTTTTCAAGTCTGAATCCAAGGGTATTGAGGATGTTCAGCTTTAGTATATGATGCTGATTTTTTTTTATTTTTAAAGAATTATTTTATTTAACTTTATTTATTATTATTTATTATTATTTTCCAGTTTGATCAGAGAGACAAGTGAGAAAGAAAGCCACCAGGTCTGGGAATTCAACCACAGTTGGCCAAGTAAGAGTCCAGTGCCTTTAAGCAGCATACCATCTGCCAGTCCCTACAATGTTGATTTTCCAGACTGTTTACATTCTTACCAGCAACACAAAGGAACTTCCTGCCATTCACAGAACTGATGTTATCACCTATTAAGATGTTGTCAATTCTTGGGACCCACAGATGGCGTGGTGGTTGAAGGTGCTGGATTCCCACATGGTCAGTTTGAGTCCCAGACCTGGTGGCTGAGGCTTGCTTTTTCGCTCTCTCCAGTGTCTGTTGATTAAAACATTTGCCTACCCCAAGATCGTCAAGGCTTCTCTTATTTTCTAAAAGACAGCGTTGGAACCAGCCAGAGGCAGTGTGGTAGTCCCACATGGCTGAGTTTGAGTCCTGGACCCTGGGACATGTGCATGCATACCCAAAATTCCAACAGGAGAATGGAGGGGAAGGGATTGCATGCTGCATGGTCATCTCCCCTGGGGGAGATGCTTCCTCACGTTCCCTCTCTGTCTCTTTTCTCTCTCTGGTGAGCACATGTACCCTACAGCACATTAAAAAAAAAAAAACAAAAACAAAAACAAAAAAAACGGTTGTTTTCTCTCTTATGTCAGGAACTCCAGTCCACCTGGAATTTATTTTTGTTTAAATAAAAAACAAAAGATGTGAGGTAATATCAAGATTCATTTTTTTCCATAAGGATATCCAACTGACCAGTATAGTTATCCAAAAAACGATCTTTTCCCCTACTGTATGTCATTCTTGACATAAATCAGGAGACTGTAAATGGAAATATCATTCTGAACTTCCTTTTTGTTCTTCTTCAAGATAGTCTTGCTACCGTCCACCCTTTTATTTCTAAATATATTTTAAAATCAGCTTGTCAATTTCAATAAAAAACACTTGAGATTACAATTGTATCTCTAGATCAGCTGGGAAGAGCTGATATGTTTACAATAGTGAATGCACATGCAGAATAAGGACCACTTAAAGATGTTCCACATCTGAATCACTGGAATCTGTCAATGTGTCATATTAAATGGCAAATAAGAAAGGTTGGTAATTAGCCAACTTTAAGAAAGGGAAATCAGGGGGCCAGCAGTTGGCGTAACGGCTATGTCGCTGGACTCCTATGTAGTCAACTGCGGTTCGAGTCCTGGACCCGGTGGCTTAAATTCACACCAGGCAAGTGTGCGTGCGTGCCCAAGATCCCGAGAGGAGAATGGAGGAGAAGGGATTGTGGCGTGGCCATCCCCCCGGAGGGTGATTTCTCACTTCCTGTCTCTCTGTCTCTCTCTTTCTGGTGAGCGCACGTGCCCTATAGCAAAAACCTCTCCAAATAAATAAATAAGTAAACAAAACAAAACAAAAATAAAGGGAAATTAGGGCCAGGTGACATGTTGGTTAAGGTAACTGGATCCCTCATGGCTAACATGGTGGTTAATGTAGCAGATCTCACATGGCAAAACACATGGTTTGGGTCTGGACCTGGCAGCTTGAAAAACATGTCAGGAAGCTTGTGCCTGCCTAAAATCCCAGATAGGAGAAATGGAGAAGGGACTGTGGCATGACTATCCCTCATAGGACATGCTTTCTTGCTTTCTCTCTGTCTCTCTCTGGAAAGCACATGGATGCTCTGGAAAGAGGATTTTTTTTTTTTTTTAATTTTAGAGATTTTTGCTGTAGGACGCATGCACTTGCCAGTGAGACAGAGAAATAGAGACAGAAAGCAAGAAATCACCCCACCTGGGGATGGTCATACCACAATCCCTTCTCCTCCATTCTCCTCTTGGGATTTTAGGCATATAGGCATAGGCACCCAGCGTGAGTTTTAAGCTGCCAGGTCCGGGACTCAAACCGCTACCAACTATGTGGGAGTCCAGCGACATAATCATTACACCATTTGCTGGTTCTCTGGCAGAATTTTTTTAAAAATTTAAAAATCACAAAAGAATCTTATTTAAAAAAAAAAAAAGTCACAAAAGATCTCATTTATTTAAAAACATCTGTCCACAAGGCCAGCAGGTAGCATGGTAGTTAGGGTGCTGGACTCCTACATGGCTGACCATGGTTCAAGTACCAGACCTGGTGGCCTGCTTTCCTGCTTTCCCTCTCTCTTCTTCTCTCTCATTCTGTCTCTCTTTGGTGAGCACATGTACCCTATAGCAAAATTTTTAAAAAAATAAATAAATTTAAAACCAATCTGTCCACACATATATATATTGTGCTTTAAAATATCTTAACAAATACATGCCAAAATATTAACAGCAATGTATCTCTGGGAGAGGTGGTAATTTTCTTTTTGCATATCTGTATTTCTTTTCTTTTTTCTTTTTTTTTTTTTGGAGAGGTTTTTTCGCAATAGGACGCGTGCGCTTGCCAGACAGACAGAGAGAGACAGAGAGACAGAAAGGGAGAAATCACCCCCCGGGGGGATGGTCACGCTGCAATCCCTTCTCCTCCATTCTCCACTCGGGATCGTGGGCACGCACACACACGCACCCGGTGTGAGTTTTAAGCCACCAGGTCCGGGACGTGAACCGCAGTCGACTACGTGGGAGTCCAGCGACATGGCCATTACGCCAACTGCTGGTTCCCCGCATATCTGTATTTCTGACTTTTTACAAGAAACATACATTACCGTATTTTTTTTTAAAGGAAACAAAGATGTTCACAATATATCAATAAATGAAAACAAAGATTACAAACAGTATTTATAGTATGATACCATGATTATGAAAATAGCAATATATTAAATATTGATATATTATTATATGTATATAAATATGCCAAAGAAAGCTAAAAAGACAAATAATAATAGTTGTCTATGAGAAAAAGCTTATGAATAATTTGCTGGTTTTGCTTTTGTTTTTCATATTTTCACAATGAATAGGTGTTATTTCTGTTTTATAAAACTAATAAAAGTTAAAAAAAAGTTAGATCTCTTAGCAGATCAAAAAAGACAAAAAAAGAAAAAGAAAGAAAAGAAATGAAAAGCAGTTGCCTCATTTCTTTTTTTTTTTTTTTTTTTTGGCGACAATTTTCATACCTGGC